TATAGGTGTTCATTGCACTGTTATTTCAGCTTTTCTGTTGGTTAGAAATCTTTCAAAATAAAACGTGAGAAGGAGGAGAGGAAGGGAGGTTAGGCTGACAGGTTTGTGAGAGCAAACTTTGTCAAATGCTGTGAAAAATAAGCCTGTCATTCAGTATCTGAAATAAAAAGAAAACCAGATTTATTGCTTCTTATCACAAAGGAGGGATACATGCTGGTCAAGCACAGTTTCTTAGTAAGGAAGGCTGCTGACTTTCTGTTGAGTTTTCAGGAAGCATTGAGTTCAGAGATTGGCGGTGTTCTGGAGTTGACATCATCTATAAAAGAGAGATGAGAATGCTGTTGATTGGTTGGCACTCAGGTGTGTGTTTATTGGAATGAGTCTGTTCTTAGTTCTGGTGGCTGTTTATTACCATGGCTACAGAAAATCAGTCATGTCTTTTAAGTTTGTGGAAACTTTAAAAATTCTCAGTTAGTATGATACTCAGTTCCTGATATGATGTGGACCCAGTATTCAATAAATATGAATAAGTAAATTTTTAAAAAACTCACAGTGCTTGCCATTATCATCTCATTGTTAAAAACTGAAGAACTTGACTTTGAAGTTCTAACATCTTCAGAAACCACCATCATCATCTTATTGTTAAAAACTGAAGAACTTGGTGTTGAAGTTCTAACATCTTAGGCTGCATTTTATTTGGAATCTCTCACGAAAGTCCTTAAGTTATCTTGGACGTTGTTTTGTTTGCTTGATTAAGTCAGTGTTTCCTAATTTTTTTTTTCAATGCTATAAAACTATATGGGCTTAGAAAAGGATTCCATAACCAATAAATACATTTAAAATCAAAAGTTTCTTTTCTGCAGAACCTCTCAGAGTAGCTAATATGGTAACATGCATTGCAAATCTAGAGAATAAAATATGTCATTTTCCAAGCTCATTTAACTATAAAATACTTTTTTTTTCTGGATACTGTCAGTGTGAAAAATGTGTTACATTATGTCACATTTATATCCATTTTGTATTGACAATTTTCTAAAGATCTGATAGTATGAAAATCTCTTATCTCTATATGACTATCTCATACCAAGTAATTCTGACACTTACTGTTGCTGAGTCTCTGGGTAAATCTTTTGACTTTCTTGAATCTCTCTCTTTCCGAGTTCATGTAATATGGGAGAAACTTTCCTTTTGGCATGCTTTACAGTTTGTTTTAAATGATAGGTGAGAAAAGTTCTCTATGACTATAAGTTGTTGCTGTTATTATAGTGTATCTATTTTCAGTGTTATAGGAAGTTAGTTTTTTGGCTAAATTTCGGTCAAAATAAGATAGTAAAGTACATTAAATGTTTTGGAGGCTTAATAGATACTTGTTTAGCATGGTGTTGTACAACGAGATCTGGAAGAATTTTCAGGAAGCATTGAGTTCAGAGATTGGAAGCAAAAGTCCTAGCTTTTGCTTCTAACTGGACTTGTGACCTTGAGATGACTATTTAACCTGTTGGACTTTCATTTTCCATCTGTTTAAAACAAAATGAATGGACTGCATAATCTTTTAGATTCTTTTTTGACCTAACATTCAATGATTGCTGTACATATTTCCTATTCCTCAAATAGGGAGGGTTTATAACAATTCATTTTATGCTGCTGTCTACTAAGAGTTTGAAGATGGGAATATTTGCTTCTTAGAAACATAGGATATATGAGGAAAAATGTCCTGTGAATTGTTAGAGGAAATTCATAAAGATATTCTACTAGTTTTGTAAACTTTCCCAGATGCACATTTTCATGCACTGGAGATGAGTTTTCTTTTATGAGCTACCTTATAAACAATTATGGATGAGCTTTCTTATGTTAGTCTTAGTTTTTATAAAATTTTCCAATGTATATTTTTCTTTTCCATTTCTTAAAAGCTATTTCTTTCACAAATCAGATCTTAATAAATATATGTTTTACTATTTCACACTGCCCGCGTTCCATACTTTACATCTCCTGATTCTGTTCTACGTTTTTTTCTGTCATCTTTCTAATATATAAATTATTTATTTAGTAATTTATTAGTTATATTGTTTGGTGTATCCTTTCCTCACTGGAATGTAAACTCTACTTATTTTTTGTCTGTTTTCTTCACCGATATGTTCCAAGCAACCAGAGCAGTGCCAGGCACATACCAGGCAATCAGTCAATATTTGATGATTGAGTGATCAATACCTATAGGTAATAAGTATTTACCTTTTCAAAATTTTATACTCTCTTACCTTTTATTTGAAACACATATGTATATCTGTATTTTTTTACATCAGCATTATTTATTTTACATCATAAATAAGAATTTTGCTTTTTTACATCTTCACATGTTTATATTGATTTCACGGTGTTTTATAAAATCTAAAAGTTTTCTGAAAGTTCAGTTAAAATATATGAATGTTTACTATCAGAAGGGAAATGGGAAAATGGATGTTGAGAAATCAAGCAAGCAATAAGAAAAATCATACTGCTAAGAAATCTGTTGTCTTAGATGTTTGACTTTTTTTTTTTTTAAGATGGAATCTTGCTCTGTTGCCCAGGCTGGAGTGCAGCGGTGCAATCTCGGCTCACTGCAACCTCTGCCTCCCGGGTTCAGGCGACAATCCTGCCTCAACCTCTGTGCTACCACGCCCAGCTAATTTTGTGTTTTTAGTAGAGACGGGGTTTCACCATGTTGACCAGTCTGGTCTCCAACTCCTGACCTCGGGTGATCCACCTGCGTTGGCCTCCCAAAAGGCATGGATTACAGGCTTGAGCCACCACGCCTGGCCTTATTTGGTACTTTGATTTACCTATCACTTGGGCTTTCTCAGAGCTATTGTTAATAGAATTCGTTTCTCCCTTTGAAAACAGGTGGATAAAATCGTAGAGTTGTGAAAGTCAAAACCGTTAAAATTTGAAGAGCAAGGCTAATTTGTAGTGTTTATAGCTTTCCAATATTATTAAATGACTCATCACGGCTAAATTTCTGCACTTTTATTCCCGACTTTGGATAGTGGGCAAGTCAGTATCAACAAATATTGGGTAAGAAAGACGTAAACAGTATAATGTCTGTTTTTACATATATCATCCAGTATTAGGTTAACTGACTGGAGTATACGGTAGTGCTGTAGCCTGCTATTCACTCTAATTCCATTTAGGAGAATTTCTTGGGTATTATAGTAATACCTAGTCTATAAAAGTATAATAAAAAAATGCTTTGAGGGGGGAAAAAACTCCTTTTGGGGAAAGCAAGTTACCCAGATCCTTTTTACACTAACCAATGGTCACACAGTGTCCATTCCAAAGTAATGTCAATTACCTGAGGTAGGAAAACATCCAAAAAAATCAGAGCTAAATTAAAAAAAAAAAGGTAACTAGCTCCCACCACAGCAATTACTTAACCACAATATCCAGAATGATTTAACCACATTAGAGTCTGTAGCCAGTGGCAAGTATTGAAAGCAACTCAGCTTCCAAGAAGATGTACACATGGCAGCAAAGAAGCATCTCTTTGTCCTTTCTTGATGTTTGGTTTCTAGATGCTTTATGAGCAGATCTGCTTGTAGGCCTTGTGTGCTTGATGACTGGCCCAGCAGGCTCTCTCACAGATCATCACCAAACTTATTCCATTTGCTTCTTTTTTCATAATCTCTTTAATTAAAGCTTAATCAGTCCTTCCCCTCTTAAAAACTTAGTCATTCCACTCTGTTCTTAATTAGGGCTTGAAAATTTAAACACAAATATTTCAGACTCAAAGGTAGACCTGTTAAATATACTGAAAATGAATAATGTAAAATTCTGTAATATGTTCAATACCCCTCCATTTTTTTTTTAATGGACAGTGACATGTTTCTTGGAAAATATTTCTACATATAAGGCCTGGGATAAACTGTAGCCTTATTTTCCTTCCTTCAATTATTTTATTTATATCATTCTGTTACTCATTTTTAACACGTTTTCTTTTTCTTAATTTCATGATTTCTCCACGGTTTACTCTGATTTAATTTTTTCGTTAACAGTGTTGCGCCATTCTTGAAGACACAGTCTTTCAGATTTAAGGATTATAATTGAATCAGATATATTTGATTCAAAATCAAGTTTCTGAAAGGTATCTTTAAAATTATCTAATCTAGTCCCCTCCTTTTACTGTTGAGAAACTAAGGTGCCAGGAGAAGTCACCTGATCATTGCAATACTTCTTAGTAGGAGAGTGGGAACTAGAATCAGATCTTCTAACATCCAGGATATTTGCATGGTTTCCAACTGTTCTTTCTTTGTAGCTGATGTCCAGAATATAGTGTGACTTCTAGCAGGACTATTGTAATCTTTTTAGTTGGATACAGGCCCTGTGAACTTCATCTGTTTTTCTGGGCTCAAATCTCTGGCTGATCATTTTTGGTACTATTTGTTTCTCTGAGTAGGGGCCATGACTACAATGAGATGTCAGCTGGGCACCTACTTATCCACTGACTCTCATGAACTTCATCCTCAACATCAGAGTATGGAAGAACATTATCTTCAGATGAAGGAATAAATGTCCCATATGCTGTTTCTGTTTTGAGACTTTAGAACTGAAATAACAAGGGTAATTGTTTGAAAGCAAGCATATAAGTTTTCTTTATTGTTAATTCATTCCCTTAACAAATGAGACTGTTTTCTGGCTTATTATTATTATTATTATTATTTTTGGTGGTAAGTATGCCATGACTTTCTAATACTAATTAGGCTGATTTACTTGGTACAGAATATTTTGGAAGACCCCTCAATCCCAGGCAAACTAGGTTGGTTGGTCATGCTGATAACAATGTATGTATATATGTTAGCGAATGCAAAAAGATTTTCTAATGCTAATAAATATATTTTTAAAATACTGTTGGTTTTATTTTTACCTCCTTTGACATTTCTCTTTTGTGTTTGTTTTATGCTATGTTTTTGTTATATACATTTGTATAACTTGAAAAGAAAGAAATACACACACAGATATGCACACACATTGCATATACTTGCTCAAAAGGTATTTCTTTTCCGCTTATAGTTTATGCCATTAAAAAGAGTTTGGAGTTGATTGATTTTCACAGTTGGGGATATGTATATGTGAGGAGGATGGGTCAATGGATACATAATCAAACACATGCATTTACATAGAATCCAGAGGTTAGCAAAAGATTTTGGCAAATGAAATGATGCTTTAGAATTTATAGAGATTAAAAGAGTTATATTTGGGTATCATCTTAGCATAGATTACTAACCAAAGATGTCACATGTAGGCTCAAAATAAGTAAGCTCCTTTGTTTTTAAGAAATTTTTGTCCTTTTTTTTTTTCCAACCTGATGTTAGAAACCACTGAAAAGGGGTTCTGTTGTTTTTTTGAGAGCAAAATGACTATAGACATTTATTGTGTATTTTGATAGGTGTCTATTTAAAGGATCTCCCCTAATTTTAGAGAGTATTAGGTATATACATAACACAAAAAAGTTAACAGGGTTAGTCACAAATTCTAGTGGCTTTTTAAAACAGTATCCAGTGGTTTTGTTCAGCATTCATCCTCCTGGATCTCAGTATAAGTATGCAGAATAAAGAGTGTAACTTCACCTTCTGAATGCCCTTGTTTGTTTCATACTTTGATTATTCAGGTATGTATAGGCTTTGTAGGTCTGATTCTGCAGTTTGTTGGTCCTGCTCACTGTCATTCATGATGACTTGATTCCTGGTACATGTAGTGTTTTGATTTTGAATTTGTGATCCTTGATATGTCATCCATGAGAATTCTTTCAGTTATTTGTTTGAAATATGTTCTTCAAGAAATGAGTTGCGTTTGTTTCTACAAGGTACCTGTGGATACTATCAATATAAATCACTTTAAATTAATGCATGGCCTTCTTTTTTTTTTTTTCCATTTATTTATTTTATTGCATTTTAGGTTTTGGGGTACATGTGAAGAACATGCAAGATTGTTGCATAGGTACACACGTGACAGTGTGATTTACTGCCTTCCTCCCCATCACCTACATCTGGCATCTCTCCCCTTGCTATCTCTCCCCACCCCCCACCGTCCCTCCCCTGTTTCCCTTCAACTGACCCCAGTGTGTAGTGCTCCCCTCCCTGTGTCCAATGCATGGCCTTCTTTTAAGGCTGTGTGGGCAGCAGATATTCTAGCATCATGGAAGTGAATTTATGGTTAACAATTCCTAAGGAAGATTTTTTTCCTTTTTTTCCTCCTCTCCCACTCAAAACTTTGGGTAAGGTATGCGAAGTGCATACTCTGGAATGGATATTTTCCTAGTTCACACATCGAGGATATCACCGTCACTGAACGTTAGGTTTCTTGATGCTATATTGGATTCTCAAACTGATTTCCTACCTTTCTTGTGGCCTCAAATTCTTTTCTATACCTTGAATTCTCTACTAGTTCAAGACAGACTCTAGGTTACTGTCGTTAGGTAGGTGCCTTCAGAATAAATGTTGGTGGTTCAGTGCTCTATTATCTTATAGAAATGTCTTTTCATCTTGTCTGACTTCGGTTTTGTCTTCTCTACTGCTTTTTAAAGCATACTTTAAATATAGGTTTTTAATATGTTATTGTACATTTTCAAGTGTTTTTTACCAAGAAGGTATTCTTTGAATATCCAGTCTACTTTTAAGTTTTAAAAAGGGGGCTTTTAAGGCCAGCCTTGTAATCCAGTCTTGAAAATCTGCTTTTATGTAATTACAAGTCCTATTCAATGATATTTACCTAAATTTTTCTTATTAATTTTCAAAGCTGATTACATCATACACTTTTATAACTTTCTATGTGGCTCTTACTAGCTTTTGTATTGGTAATTGGGATGTGGTTAATGATTTGCTGGCTGCCAGTGTTGTGAAGTAGTTGTTAATATTTTGCATTCTTAGACAGTAAATTCCCTTTAAAAAATACTGTGCAAATCCAGAAAGAGCATAGATAACACTGTCCTTTTCTTCGGACTTTGCAACTTGAGTAGGAAAGATTTTCTTTTCTTTTTTCTTTATTATAAACAGGGTCTGACTCTGCTGCCCATGATGGAGCGCAGTGACATGACCTTGGCTCACTGCAACTTCTGTGTCCTGGGGTCAAGCCATCCTCCCACCTCAACCTCCCAAGTGGCTGGGACTATAGGCACATGCCACTGCTTCCGGCTAATTTTAGTATTTTTTGTAGAGGTGGAGTTTCACCATGTTGTGCGGGCTGGTCACAAACTCCTGGGCTCAAGTGATTCTCCTCCCCGGCTTCCCAAAGTGCTGGGATTAAAGGCATGAGCCACCACGCCTGGCCAAGATCTCATTTTCTTTGTCTAGAGAAAATTGCACATCCATTCAGACATTTGAGAGAATAATTTATATTCTCCTTACTAAAGTGATTCATGTAATAAATATCTTTCACTTTTTGCCTTTCTTATAGTCCTTAATATTGATGGGTTTAAAATTGTTTTGCAGGTATTCTTTAGGTGATGCTAGAAGGCCTCTTCATGAAACAGCAGTTTTGGTTGAAGATGTGGTACACACTCAGTTAATTAATCTGGTAAGAACATTAATTTAATTTGATTCAGTATCTATTCTCTGCATTCTTTTATTAGGATTGTAACCCAACACTTTAAAAAAATATTTTATTTACATCTTGAATTCTTTTTTGTCAGCATTATTAAAGTATAATTTATATGTAACAAAATTTACTAGTTTAATGCAAAATTTGCTGAGCCTCGGCATTTGATGTTATAATATTAACTTATAGCACAACCATGATACAGAAAATTTGCGTCATCTAAAACAAACCCTTGTTCCCCTGGGCAGTCAGCAGCTATCATCATCACAGCAAAAAGATTAGGACTCACTGAAGGCTCAGATGGTTGTTAGCATTTTGTAACAATGAAGTATTTTTAAATTAAGGTGTGTACATTATGTTTTAGACATAATGCCATTTGACAATCGACTATAGTATAGTGTAAACATAGCTTTTATATGCACTGAGTAACCCCAAAATTTGTATACCTACTCTGTACCCACAAAAATTAAAAGTTAAAAATTAAAAAAATTTGTCTGACTGCACTTTATTACAGTGGTCTGTAACTGAACTTATAGTATCTCTGAGGTATGCCTATACCACGTTTAAAGAGAAATTCATTCATATTACCTTCTAGTTCTTGTATGATTTCATTTTTACTTTTAGATCATTAATATATTTGTTGTTTATTCTTGTTATTTTGTGAGATATGGATCTAATTTTATCTTTTTCCAAATGGGAACCCAATTTTACCATCACCATGTATTTCAAAATTTATCTTTTCCTTAGTGATTTGAAATGCATTCTTTATAATATACTAAATTTACATATATATTGGTATCTGTTTCTCGTTGTATATGTTATACTAATGGTTTACTATATGTATATCCTAGTATGGTGTTATTACAGGTTTTATAGCATATTTTAATGATTGTTAGGGCTAAACTTCTTGGTAGTCTTTTTTTTTTTTTTCCAGTGTTTTCCTGGCTATTCATGTATGTTTAATGTTCCTCATGGATATTAGTAGCAACTTGTCTAGCTAATAATAAATTTTCATTGGTATGTTTATTGAGATTACAAGATTTTATAAGTTAAGGAGAACTGCATCTTTATTAAAATCTTGAATCATTCTATGAATATGGTATATCTACATTTGTTTGAAACTACTTTTGTGTCTTTTAAGTTTTGTTTTAACATTTTTCTTTTAGCTTCACACACTTCTTGTTAAGTTTGTTTTTAAGTATTCCATCTTTGTTGCTATCGTCAATGGATTTTTTTCTGTGACTAACAGCTGAAAACATTAAAAAGTTTAATGAAATACATAAATCTACAGGTTCAAGATGAGTGAACTCCACTTAGAACAAATCCAAAGAAATGCATGTTCAAACTGCTGAACAGTAATAGCATAATACAAATTTTAAAGCCTGACAGGTTTATTATTATAGGGGAAGTATGATTTGAAAGATAGTGGAATTCTTATCAGAAAACATGCAAGCTAGAATGAAATGGTACAACAGTTTTTAAATACTGAATGTAGGATATTAGATTGACTATTCTTTTTATCTACATAGCCCTCTCCCCTTGTTTACATGTCCTCCTGTCTTATAAGGACACCAGATATTTACTATTTAGTGGTATTGTTATTCGTATTAAATCTATGTATGTTAATTTTATATTACAGTGTTGTAACTTTTCCTTTAAAGCCAAATGCTTTTAAGGAACGAAGACAAAAAAAAAAGGAAGCATATGTCCTATTTTGTATTTACCCACATATTTACCATTTCCCATGCTCATTCTTCATTCTCACAGATTTTTGTTGCCATTTCAGTCATTTCCCTCAGCCTGAAGAAGCCTTGTAACTTTTTTTTGTAGTACAGCTTTGCTAATGATGAAGTCTTAAATTTTTTTCATCTGAACATATCTTTATCTTTGTTCTTTAAGTATGTTCTTCCCTACGTGGAACTCTAGATTGATAATCTTTTCCTTGCAGCTTTTTGAATATGTCATTCTAATAATTTCTGGCCTGCATTAATTTCTGACAACAATGTAACTGTTATTCATTTCTTTCCCTGTGTGTAACATGTAGTTTTTTCCTGGCTGCTCTCAAGATATTGTCCTTATCTTTGGCTTTGAGTAGTTTGCTGTCTCTAGGACTGATTTTTTAAATCATTATCTTCCTTGCAAGTTTGTTTTTCTTGTTGACACTAGGTATCAATTTGTGGAAGTTTTCAGCCATAAGTTTTACCATTTGACATTGTTTCACAAGGCTCTCAAGGCCTTTAGTGTTTCTCCAAACTTTCTGCCCCTTTTCCTTCTATTGTTTTGTTTTATTTGACTTTGGTAATTCCTATTGATCTATCTTTAACTTTACTATTTTTTTTCTGCCATCTGTAATACGCTGTTTAGTCAGTGCTAATGTGATTTTCAGTTTAGCCCATAGTATTTTCTATTGTAGTATCTGTTTGAAAATGTGTTTTACTGAGCCTAAACTCCTTTCGAATTATGGATATGTACTCTTATATTCCATTTTAAATACAGAACTTGAAACATTATTTGATGACTGCTACACTAGTATAAACAAGAAATAGTATGTGCGTCTACTTATAATGAGAGATCCTCTTATTACAATAGATGCTTACCTCTCCTTACCCATTTAATATTTGAATGGTAATTTTGATGCCTATTTATGAGATTCATCCTGTCCAGATTCCACTAAATATTACATTGAATGATATACCAGCTAGACATAAACCTTGTTTTGTTACCTTTACAATATCCAGGCATGTGTCAGAGTGGGTTCTTCAGAGGAAAGGAAGAATTATAGAGAATAGTTATTTTTAAAAAGTCAGTTCTTTTTAACCATGGAATATTATGCAGTCATTATAAATTATATGTGTGTGTTTTGTGCTCTTCATTTAAATCCCCTTGTAGTTCTTTATCCGTCTACCTATTAAGACCAATTTTTTTCCTGTAATTCTTTCAACATTTTTTTTTTTTTGAGAGGGGGTCACTCTGTTGCCCAGGCTGGAGTGCAGTGACACGATCTCAGCTCACTGCAGCCTCTGTCTTTGAGGTTCAAGTGATTCTCCTGTCTGAGCCCCCTGAATAGCTGAGATCACAGGTACGCCACCACGCCCAGCTAATTTTTTGTGTTTTTAGTAGAGATGAGGTTTCCACATATTGGCCAGGCTGGTGTTGAAAACTTGACCTCAGGTGATCTGCTTGCCTTGACATCCCAAAATGCTGGGATTACAGGCATGAGCCACCACACCCAATCAGTATTTTTACAACAGCTTTGTTGAAGTATTTATAGTCTAAGTTCAGTAACTATACCACGTTGGAAGCCATTTATATTGACTCTGCTTTTTACTTAATAGGCGTCATTCTTTTTTTGTTTGTTTGTTTGAGACAGAGTCTTGCTCTGTCACCGAGGCTAGAGTGCAGTGGTGTGATCTCTGCTCACTGCAGCCTCTCCCTCCTGGGTTCAAGCGATTCTCCTGTGCTGGGACTAGAGGCACATGCCACCACACCCAGCTGATTTTTTGTATCATTAGTAGAGATGGGGTTTCACCTGGCTAGCCAGGATGGTCTCGATCTCCTGACCTTGTGATCTGCCTGCCTCGGCCTCCCAAAGTGCTGGGATTACAGGCGTGAGCCACCACACCTGGCCAGATGTCATTCTTCTGGGGTTTTGTTTTTTTTTTCACGTCTAATATTTGTGTTTTTAAAAGTGGATATTTTATATAATACACTATTGTGACTCTTCTGAAGACTTTTTGTTGTTTTTGTTTTAGCTGGCAGGTAACTTGCCTGGACATAAAATGTTCACTCTCCCATATTGTAGACAGCAGCTCCCCTCTCTCCTTAATTCTTACTGCTTTCTGCTGCTGTTTTTTCCTGTTTTTTTCTGGCTTTTCCCCTTTTGTGTCTCTCTGAAACTTGCACATTTGAACTTTTAAGAAGAAAGGGAAAAATATGGGCAAATTGTTTTTTAAGTGTTGATACTCCCTTACTGTACAATATTAAGTAATTAGTATACATTATATTTTCTAAATTTTTAAATTTATTGTTAAAATTACATAGGAAAAAAATCCATGTTTTGTTTTATCAGTTTTTTTATGTTTTGTCAAATGTGCAGTCTTATAACCACAACCAAAATTGATTCAGAACAGTTTCATCACTCCCCCAAAAATTCTCTCTTTCTACCCATTGTCAAACTTTTCTACCTTAACCACCCTCTGCCACCATGAGGTCCCCATTGTTTGTCACAGAAGGAGAAGACTTCTCATTTAATTCTTATTGTCTGTGCTTGGTAAGCATTGCTAGATTCATACTCCCTTTGGCTTCAATACAGAGGATGAGTAGAAAATAAAAATGAAACTGCCAGGTTTATTTTTGCTTTTATTATCATTTTTAATAAACACATAATTTTACATATTTTGGGGGTATAGTGTGATACTTTGATATATGTATACAATGTGTAATGATCATATTAGGGTATTTAGCATATCCATTACCTTAAACATCTATGATTTCTTTGTGTTGAGAATATTCAAAATCTACTCCTCTAGCTATTTGGATATATACAATAAATTCTTGCTATCATAGTCACCATATAGTGCTATGGAACACTAGAACTGATTTCTCCTAACTACCTGTTTATCTGTGAGCAACTCTTTGGCTATAATTCCCCACTTCCCTTTCCTCGCCTCTAGTAGCCACTATTCTATTTATAGGTAAATACCGCATGTTTTCACTGATATATGGAAGATAAAAAAGTTGATCTCATAAAAATATGTGCCTGGCTTATTTCTCTTAATATAATGTCCTTTAAGCTCTTTTATGTTGCCACAAATGACAGAATTTCCTTATTACGGTGAAATCATATTTCTTTGTGAATATATACCACATTTTTGATACTCATTCATCTGTTGATGGACACTGCAGTTGATTTCATGTCTTGGCTATTGTAAGTATTGCTGGAATAAACATGTGAATGCAGGTATATCTTCAGCATACTA